AGAAAGCTTGCTTTCTTTTGTGAAATACCTATCTCCTAATTGTCCCTATATGGTCTTAACTCCTTCACGTTCCATGTCCCCTTATCCTTGCCTGACTCGTCTACCAGGACATAAGTCCAAGGCGACACCTTCTTCTTCACTATAAAAGGTCCTATATATTTCGGCGCTAACTTCGCCGCGTTACTGCATCAGATAATACAAAATTTTTCCTCCAAACTAACTCTCCTGGCATATATTGCACATCTCTTCTCCTAAGGTTATAATTTCTTGCTAACTTGGCACTGGCCTCCTCTAACCCCACTCTAACGCTAGACCTAATCTCTTCGAGTCTCTTTACTCTTTCTTCACAATTAATTCTCTCTACTCTCCTAATGACGCGATATATCTTCTACTGCCTTCCAACGCCATTTCCCTAATAATACAGCACGCTACCTTTGCTAATTTCTGGTCCCAACTCCTTTGGTTTTCTGCGACGTATGCCCTAAGGGTAGTCTTAATTATTTGGTTTATCCTTTCGGCCGGGTTACCCTGCGGATGACAGTATGCGGTGTACCGCAGTTGGACGCCATACGCTCCGCAGAGTCCCCGCAGTTCGCGACTCCTGAACTGGGGTCCATTGTCGCAGACCACCGGCCGAGGGACACCAAACAAAAGAAACACCTGATCCTCTAAGATTTTACAGACGCGCTTCGCCTTGGCAGTCCGTAAGGGAAACAACAGCGGAAGCTTCGAAAAGTAATCCACGACCGTTAAAATATACTGGTAGCCCTGTGTCGACTTCACCATGGGCCCTACCAGATCAACACATATTATTTCCCAAGGTGCAATTTCCTTGGACCTCTCAACAAACCCCCAGCTGGCTGTGTGTTATCAGGTTTCACCTGTTGACGAATCTTACATGCGGCCAATAAAAATTTTGCGTAACCCTAGCGAAAGTTTTCCGAATGCCCATGTGACCGGCCAACTGGTCATCATGACATTTACTCAGAATCTCAGCCCTCTCCTTTCGACCAACAACCGTTTTCCAATTCGAAGAATCACCGTAAATAGAGGGGAATTTGGACTTAACGAATTTGTAGAGGCAGCTGTCTTCTACTCTCCACGCTGGGTACGATAAGGGTCTCTTTTCTACAGACCGAATCATCTTCGACAACCAGGGGTCACTAGTGGAAACTTAAGCAACAGGCCCACTACGGGACAACATATCTGGAACCACATGTTCCTTTCCCTTCCGGTGGACAATCTCAGTCATACTGCTGGAGCTTCAGCGCCCAACCTGCTAACCTACCACAAGGATCCTTCAAGTTGTTCAGCCAAACCAAAGAATAATGGTCAGTGACGACAGTAAACCTAGCGCCTTCAACATATGGACGCAATTTCTCGACCGCCCAAAAGACCGCTAAACTCTCCTTCTCTGTCGTCGAATAAATTTTCTAATTTTTATTCAAAATCAGACGCGTCTGTCTGGATTTTGAGAGGCTTCTCAAAATCTGGACAGCTCAAAACGGGTGCTGTCACCAGGCGCTCCTTCGCCTCCCTAAAGCTGCGTTCACAATCTTCGTTCCACTCGAACTTTCGGTTTTTCTTTGTTAATTCGGTGAGAGGCCTAACTAACTCAGCAAAGTCTTCGGTAGCAGGACACTGTACCTATAAATGACCTAACCTGTTTCACATTTTTGGGCCTTTCGATGTTTACCATCGCTTCAACCTTTTCTGGGTCTACGTGTAGACCGTGCTTGTCTACCACGTAGCCTAAATACTTTATCTCTGGCCTACAAAAGTTGCACTTATCCCTATTCAACCTAAGGCCCGCTTTAGCTAACCTATCTAAAACTATCTGCAGAATCTCTAGATGTTTATCGAAGTTATTTGTAACGATAATGGGTAGCTATCTCTCTCTGTACATTTATTTAAAACCCTATAGTCTACACAAAACCTATGACCCATCTTTCTTCCTAATAATGGCGACTTTTCAATTACTCCCTTATCGAGCATGTCTTTTAACTCCTCGTCTATATGAGACTGTATGACGGGAGACACCGGGTAATAAATCTGCTTCACAGGTTCGACTCCTGCTTTTACCCTAATCCGATGCTCAACAAGGTGGGTTCGACCGAACCCTTCTGGCATAGCCCTGAACGCCCGGGAAACTAATTCCACTAAAGCACTCGCCTCTCTATTGCCTAACTCGGAGTGATCGACTATCGCCACCAAATAGTCCTGTTCGGCCGAGAAAAGCTCCACCTCATTTTCATCAAATCCGGGATAATACCCGCCTAGGTCCAAATATCGACCCCAAGGATAACGCTCTGAGGCAAGCCAGGAACTATGAGGCACTCAACGAGGACGGGCTTGCCCTCTACCTCAATTGGCAGCGAAACCGAACCTAACACCGATACATGGCCTCCATCCGCAAAGGTAACTTTCAAGGGAATATTCGATGAAGACACCCTAATCCCCAAGATGAGAAAACTTCACAACCTAACCGACCAATTACAGTTCTCGACGCACCAGAATCCAACAACGCCCTAAAAGTGTAACCAAAAATCCTCACATCCAAATACGGACGCTTATCGAAGCCGTCAGAGACAAGCGAATACGCCAACCGAATATCTGGATCACCGAACCCTACTTTAGCCAGCTGGGACTTGGAGGATTACTAACTCGCCCTACTAGACCACCTGACCTGCTGTCCCAGGGGTCTATCTCCCGTTTCCTGACTTCTTAGACCGAACCTCCGACTTCGACCAAACATTTGCCCTCGACCCTGACCAATTTCGGTTATGACCTAACCTCCGACTTAGACGGGTTGTGGTGGAGCCGACCACCACCCTCGGGGCTTCGTTGGGGGCCCTGGGAACACCTTGGCTTCTCATTGCACACCGGGCAATCTCGTCTCATCACCCCAGTCCTGACACAACCATAGCATTTAATACCTTTCCTGCACTCAGCTGAAACATGTCCGAAACGCTTGCAATTAACACCCCTATTGCGAGTGTCGACTGGCAGTAGATAAACGACTATTAAGCGATTATCGATTATCGATGCTATTGTGAGTGTCGCTTAGTCGCTCAATGAGCGACTGTGAATAGTTTTTAATCGCTTATCCTTCTACTGCTATTTTTGAGTCGATAGAGTTTGAGTGAGCAAAATTTTCGTGATATAAATAAATAAATAATGGATAAAAAGTAAGTTATTTGCATTAAAAGCTGTACAAAAATTTACTATACATATGTGTGTGAATTGTAGATCAAAAGTGGTTAGCAATAAGAAGCAACTTGGGCGGCTGGTCCAGCTGATGCAGGACAATCAGGACTTGGCGAAAGGAATTTGCGGCAAGACTCGGGGAAAGCCCAGATGGGAAGCCATAGCCGTAGAGCTGAACAGCTTGGGACCACCACTACGTTCATGGGAAANGCTTCAACCGACGACCTAACCGACTTTAATTTTCTACCCAAGGCGACTAGTTCCGCAACCGATCCTGGCGAAACTAGTCCCAGCTGCGTTTGATAAAAGGGTAGTAAATTTGCCCTAATTATCCCTAGCATCCTACTCTCCGACAGGGGCTCCTGTAACCGGCCGAACATAATTTTCATCGCTGCCACGTAGACTCCGATGGACTCATTCGCTCCCTGAGTCCGCCGCCGTATCCCGTCCATCAGCAAGTCATCGTAGTTGGAGGGCAGAAACTCCAACTTCAACTCCCTAACCAGTTCCTCCCAAACTACTTAGCGAGCGCCTAACTGACCTAAACCATAGAAGTTCCTTCCCCGAAAATAAATCAACTGCGCCTCGGAAAAGTTGAGCAGGAGCCACACCGTGGTCTTCACTCAACTCCTCTACCCTTTCCAGAAAAGCGTGAGCCGAAAGACCCGACTTCTCCGCATCGAAACGCACGTCCCACTTTGAAAGATTCTCCGGATTCACGCTCCCGACCGGTTCAACCGACCCGATCGCCCGCTCTTCGGCCACCTCGCCTGATGCCGCTGCCGATCGTACCGCCGAATCTCGTTCTCAGTCTCTCATCCGCTCCGGCTCGTCCTCCTCGCCAACTGCCTCCTGCTAGTCAGCCAAGCAAAGCATCAACCTGCTCTTCAAACTCGACTGCTGCCTCATCTCCGCATCGTTGCTGGGTTTCGCGCGCCCTATCCTTGCTAAGCACCACTCTAGCTTAGCCATGGCTTTGGCCCCAGTCGACGGCTTCGCGCCCTTCGCCAACTCGCTCATCAACGACTCGACCTCCTTCAACTTTTGCTCGACCGCGACCCGATCCTCCTCGATACTGAAGGGGTAGTCCTGGAAGAGCTCTACCGATCCTCTCCTCTCTAACAACCTTGACGCCCGCAAGGATTTCCGCATATTGTCGACCGACCCTACCGGGAGACCCCGAGCCTCCATCTCATACGACAACTACTCTTGCGACAACCGATTAATCTCCATGTCGTATGAATCAAAAAAGAACCAAAATGTAACGAAAACCCACAATATTTAAAAAAAATCAAAAGCGCAGTAAAATAAATTAATCAAAATCGAAAAACGAAGAAAAAACAAATCGCCAAATCAGACAGAATAAAAAAATAAATAAATAACAAAACCCCAAAGATTCAAAGAAAAATAAAAGTGATAATTGTCAAAAATTTAAAACTGACAAAAGAAAAAAATATACAAGCAAAATTTATCTTTATTGCCAGAATTACTCCGGAAAAATTAATAAGTAAACCGCGAACAAAAAAGTTCCAAAAAAAAACCATAAATGGAAAAAAAATTATTGAATAAAAAAATTTAAACCAAGAGGCGGACCGTAAAAACAGGAAATTGAAAATGAAAGAGAAATAAAATTCGGTAAATTAAGTAGGAAATAAAATGCCAAACCAAGAGGTCTATTAATTAAAATTAATTTCAAAAGGTTCGAATAAAATAAAAATTTTCCAAAAAATAATTAACAAAACCGAAAAAAAAATTTACGACGACTTAACAGTTTAAGAACACGACCGAAAATCAAAACTCGCGAAAACAAAACTTTTAAAATCGTTTTATGTATAACAACCTGTTATAGCTTGCTACCGACCAGTTCGCGACCACTTGGTACTCTATGCCTATACTCCACAAGAAAATTAAATTAAAACGGTTTTTTTCCACTCAGGTTTTCTTTTAGTTATTTAATTTTTTTTTCCGCGCCCTAATCGCTTATACACTAGACTTATCTGTGATCCGCTTGCACAAGCGTCCGCTTGCAAATAAACAAAAATGCCCAACTACGTTCCGCCACGAACCCGTTTTTTTCCAGAACGCCTTCTATTTAAATCTAATAAAAAAATAGACAAAACTTCTGTTAGAAAAAAATAAACCAAAAATTAGCCAAATGAACAGGCCTAATGTGCGCAATATATGGACACAACTAAGTGAAGTACAAACAACAACACTACTACAGCACAATAAAATACGTGCGTATGTATGGGTCTGGCACAACACCTTTCACTGCACCGTTTTCCACCACAAATTTCTCACCTGCTTTTAAGCTCCTTGGGTTCCCACAAACTTTTTGGAAAAAGTAATCCCACGTAGAAAACGTCCTTTATGTTTTAATGAGAAAAAAAATCGCCGCAAAATTCCTTGCCTAAAGTCGGGCCCGACGTTGGGCGCCAATTTGTCACCTTCAAATTTTGTCCACCCTAATATGTCTTTTCCGGCCACCTAACGCACTTACCGTGTGCAACAACAACCCAAGGGGGCCAAACGAAATAAACAAATGCACGCACAAAAGGCAGATGACAAGAAAAATTCCAAGCAACCGGCTGGCTCAGTGGATACGGCGGGGTTGCTTGCAAGGGACAATATACACGCAATCCAAATACCTAACAAACAAAATCTAGCTAGGGACAACAACGAGAAAAATTACCAAACGGCACCAACTAATATATATATATGTATGCAATAATAGGGTGGGTCGAAAATTTTAAGTAAACAGAGAATTTTAAACGAACCCACTCGCAATACCTCCCAAGCTGCCGGGGGTAAATTTAACCCACCGAAATGACTAGGCTCAGGGTGCAGGATGCAAAAAAGGATAGGTTTAGGACACACAATAAGGGAAGCCAACCGACAACAAAAATAGCCAAATCTAGACACAACAACATAATACTTATCGAGCGGTTGGTGGACGTTCCGACCGCAGGGGTGCACCTTGGGGGTACACGCTCCAACTCCGGTGCCGATATCACTTCGCTCCGTCTGGCGCTGCTCCACACTTTCTGTTTCCCCCTCTATACTTCAGTGCTCCGCTTGGCACTCTCACAAAACCTACCACCACTTTTTTTGCCCACAAATCCCTTTTTTGTTTTTTTTCCTTAATTTTTCCTAATTTTTTCTGACTGCACTATTTCAATTTTTCTTCACGCGCTCGGAATAAAGGTCACTTCACGATTGAGAGAAATAGAGATTGCGCCAATCGCGGTACCGCTAATCCGCTCTTTGCGATTTTGACATACGAAAAAACCAAATAACAATTTTAATATTTGTGCGTTAATATTTCTGCGAGGTTTTAAACAATTATTGAGACATTACAAAGCAAAATGAAGTGTGCAGTGGCAAAGTGTAATAGTGAAAACAAAAGGAAAGCGTGCAATGTAAGTTTTTTTTCGTTTCCAACGGACGCAAACCTGGCGAAAAAGTGGAAGCAGCTCTGCCGGCGAGGAGATGCATTAAACACCAAATCGAGCTTTGTGCTATGCGTGTGAGCTATGACCTTCTACATAGAACTATTTTGGCCTTTCCTTGGTGAATTGTAGTAGGTAGGAAATATTCCATGGTGAAAGTAGACAGTGGCTGGTTTAGTTTGCTGGCAA